GTGGAAAGAATGGGAAATTCCACAGACTGGATGGTCCATAAGGAACCCTTTAACTGACTCTCATTTAGCCCTTGGCCTGTGGGGATATACCTTCTACATACCCTAGTAGCCATCTCCCTGCACCCCCCCGCCCCGCATGACTCTTATTATCCCCAGGCTTACCCTTCCCCCCCTCAGAGGGAACTCCACTTCCTGGGACCTGTGCTGGGCAGGTTAGGGAGGCCAGAATGGGGGCAGCAGAGGGCTCCAGGCCTTCACACATTCATCTGATGACACTCACTGAAAATGGCCTCATGCTGGGCCCAGGGGCTCCTGGGTCTCTCTCCTCCCACCTCAGTCAGCTGCTTGCAGAGCCCAGAGCTCCTGAGACCACCTCTGGCTTTATATACTCCCCACCATATTCTGTGACACACTCTATGCCTGAGGGGTGTAATGGGTGAGCCTGGATCTGAGTTTCTTGGCCAGTTGTCCACTGAATGATCTTGGTTTCCATTGAGAATTCCCCTGCTTCCCTACCCACCACTTCCCACCTAGTCTGCAGAGTACTGGGAAATTCATATTTATTAAAGGTTTTGACATGCCCTATTACCATATACAAAATCCCCATCAATCCCCGTCCCATGAAGGCTCCGGACCCAGGGACCCAGGGCTCACTGGCCCCTAGGTGGGCTTCCTGAGCCTCACAACCACCCTCCTAACTGCCCTGCTACAAAAGAGGTACCACTGCCCTTCCTGTTTTCCTGGGTGACCTGGGAGCAGGCCAGGAAGACTTAGTCTTCCTATATGCCTTGAGGGTTATGTATACCCACCTGTATCCATTGGGGCCAACCCAGCCTTCATTAGGACAGAGGTCCCATCTTGGGGGTGCCTACCCTGGGAGAGGGCATATGGTGGACAAGTGTCAGGTAGATGACCCCGGCGCCGAGATTTACGGTGCCTGGAGCCCAGGATCTCCATACACCTCTTGCCCACCAGATAGGTGACCTCACAGAGGTTAAGCAGGATGCAAATGACAGCTGTGGCCACCATGAAGTAGGTGAAGACCTTCTTCTCTGTGGGTCGGGAGATGTAACAATCCACAGTGTGGGGGCATGGATCCACAGAGCAGGCCACCACACGGGGCATGTCATAATCCTTGTAGAGGCGATGGAAGATATAGAGGAAGCTGGTGTCTACGGTGGCCTTGAAGATGAGACTCAGTAAGTATGTCCACCAGAGCCCACCTCGCTTCTTGCCTGCATTGTCGTACAGTGATGGGGCATTGGGCCCATGCTTTAGGCGGTAGCGCCGTTCACGCTCTTCACGATAGGCCACATGCATGACCACCAGCAGTGAGGGGCAGGTGACCAGGATGAGCTGCAGGGCCCACAGGCGCACGTGGGACACAGGGAAGAACTCATCGTAGCAGACGTTAGGGCAGCCTGGTTGCTGTGTGTTGCAGATAAAATCCTTCTGTTCGTCATCCCACACATCCTCGGCGGCCACCACGTACACGAGCACACGGAAGATGAACACCATGGACAGCCAGATACGGCTTAGTGCCGTGGAATACTTGTTCACGCCACTCAGGAGGCCCTGCAGAAATGCCCAGTTCATGCTGATAGTGTCCCTGGACCCTTACGTGGACAGATCTATGTCTTTGCGCCACCCACTCAGACTTCGGGTGCCACTGGGCTGGGAAGGACGTGAAAGTGGGCACCCCTTATTGATGGTGCAATTGATAAAACCCTTTCACAGCCACTATGTCCTTGTGTCCTCAGTCATGATGGCTTTGTGGGGTAGGGTTGCCATCATTCCTGTTTCACATGGGAGTAAACCAAGGCACAGAGAGGGGAAGGCACCTGCCCAAGGCTCCACAGCTGGACGTAGCAGAGTTGGTCTTGAAGTTTTAAAATCACGATCCCTTTTATTCTATAAATAGATAAATGTGAACGATAAACACCCTTTGTAGACATGACAACCAATCCTTTTTACCCCAAGTTTCAGCACTACTGGTCCACACATTTAAAGAGATAGTAAGAAGGTGAAGGAGCTCTGGTGGTGCAGTGCCTAAGTCATTTGACTGCTAACCAGAAGGTTGGTGGTGTTTAATACCACCAGCCACTCCATGGAAGAAAAAAAACCAAACTCACTGCCGTGGAGTCAGTCCTGACTTATAGCGACCCCTCCTTGGGTTTTCTGAGGCAGTATCACTACGGAAGTAGATTGCCCAACTTTCCTTCAGAGGATTGGCTGGTGGGTTTGTGTGGCTGGTGGTTAGCAGTTATAGCAGTCAAGTGGCTGGTGGTTAGCAGTTATAGCAGTCAAATGCCCTAGGCACTACGCCACCAGAGGAAGACAGGGCAATCCACTTCCATAAAGATTTACCACCTTGGAAACTCAGCAGGGGTCACTATGAGTCAGAATCGACTCAATGGCAGTGTTTTTTTTTTCTTAATAAGAAGGTGAGGATTGGATGATCTTCCAGGGATGGGTTGGGGCTGGAAGGGAAGGAAACACATCCTTATCAGTTGTCACATTCATCCAACATTTCTTGAGTGCCAACAGGAGCCAGGCTTTGTCTGGGCATGCTCATATCAGCTTCTTTGTTAGATCGAAGAAAAATCCCCATCCTCATTCCTCCTCTCTAGGTCAGGGAAGTTCCCAACCCTGAGGTTCCCTCCCATACCAAACAGAAGGTTCTTTGGAGCCATGAGAGTTTGGCAACCCATCCACCTCCACCTTTCCTGTCTCAGTGCTGGGGCCCCAGGGCTGACCCGACCACAGTGGGTTTCTCTGGAATTCCAATCATTCCAGCTTTAGGGAGAGACTGGGGAAGGGGCAGAGGAGGGGTTTAGGCACAGTTCTCTCCCCACCATTCACTTTCTTTCTCAGGGATGCCCCCTCTACCTCTATCTGCTCAGTGGCAATTTGCTAGCCTGTTGTTATGTGCCATTGAGTTGTCTCTGACTCATAGCGACCTCTCCTTGGGTTTTCTAGGCAGTATCACTATGTAATAAATTGTCCAGTCTTCCTTCTGAGAAGTGGCTGGTGGGTTTGAACCGCCAACCTTCTGGGTAGCAGTCAAGTGCCTTAGGCACTCAATGTCTTGTGTGTTTCACCTCCACACCTCTTATCTGAAGTCCCATCTTGTTCCATCTCCTGCTCTGTCTTGTCCCCATCCCTGTCTCAGCCCTGGGCTTCTTGTGAATATTCTGACACCGACTTCTGAGAAGCCTTCTGTCCCCACCCTGAGCACCCTCCTCTTTTTCTGTGGCAGAATGCATCAACTGTTCTCAAATGGCCTGTTTACCTGTCTTCTGGCCACACCGTCAGCTGCTAGAGGGCAGATCTACATCGCATTCACCTCCACTTCCCCAGGTTGCAGCACCTGGCCCAGCCTGACCCATAACAAATGTGTGTTAAACACAACTGAAAGGGCATTTCTTCCTGATCACTCCTCTCCTCTTCCTTTTCTTTGTCTTTCTTTGGTCCTCTGCCCTCCCTTTGGTCTGATGAGACATTCCTTCCCCTCCAATAAGGGTTTTCCTGGGACCCTGACTCACTGCCCCTCTTGCTCCCTCTCTGACGCCAGCCTGTAGCCTGATAGCCCTTGGGCATCCTCAGACCCGACTGAAATGTCCCAGCCCAGTCTCTCTCACCTTCTTGGTCCTCACCCTTCTTGAGTTCAGCAGCTGCTCTCCTGAACCTGGACTTGTTCATCTGCCTGAGGGCTTCCTGGAGGCAGCTTTTGTTCCTCACTCCCCTGCTGGGTGGGGCTGTCAGAGCCAATGAGCCAAGAGAGAGTGAGTGGGTGGGCAGGCAGGCAGACTTCCCTGGGCACACATTCAGAACAAACACCTGAGGTTCTTCTATCCTGGCTCATGTCTCTTTCCAATCTGGTTGGGCAGAGCTGGACCTGGCTCCCTGGGCAGGCAGGTGTGTATATAAGACTTCAGCGAGGGGAGGCAGGAAGCTGGTATCCTCACACCCAGGTCCAGGTCAACACCAAAGGATAGCCTGCCCCCGTCAAGTTGTTTTATTTCCCCTAACACCTGCCCCCAGGCCTCACTCCCCCAGAACTTTATTCTGGAAGCCTAGTTCTGGCATTTATGGAAAGGGGCTACCATGGGTCAACTCAGGAAACTATCTCACCCTGCTGGGCAGATTTCTGGAGACTGCTGCTTTCTGCTGAGCTTGGGCTACTTTGGGGTCATTTAGAGGATGGGATTGGCACACTATGACTTTTCCAGACCATGGCTTTCACTGCCCAGGTGGAAACAAGGAATGCAGGTCAACAGCATGAAATGCTCAGGTTGGCACAGGGCCAAGCATAGCCTCAGTGCCTGTCTCTAAGGCCCTGACCCTCTGGGGCCCTGGAAAGGCCTCTAGGGAAGGCTGAATGCGTTCCAGTAGAGACTGTCCTACCCTTAGGACTGTGAAGTTAATGTGCAGTCAGGGAGGGGCCCATCTGCCTCATTTCCCAGAACCATTTATTGAGCGCTTCCTAATACCAGTGATTAACATTGATGTGGTCTTTTCCAGCTGTCTAAACCTTTCCACAGCCATGAGCTCATCCTGGCCTCACAACCACCCCATGGGGTAGGTATATTAACCCCATTTTGGAGAGAAGATGAAAACACTTTCCTGGAGTCCCAGTGGAACCTGGATAGGATCAGGTATCTGACGCTGGGACCCCGTGCTTTCCCTTGCAGCCCACAGCCCATCCCACACTGAGCTTCATTCTCCTTTGAGACAACCCATGGGCCTAAAACTGCATGTGGGAAGGAAGGCTAGACAAGTACGGGCAAGTAGCATGGGCCCCAAGAGTGCTGGGAGACTCCTTTTTCTGGAGGAGAGGCTGGCTCCCCATCTGGCTGGATCCAGCACAGCACTTTACAGAACCAGAGGGACTGACACAATGACCCGAAAAGGGTCACAAATGTCAGAGGACCAAAGGCTGCTTGAGTGAGTGACTGAATTGACTTTTATTAAGCCCTGACCATGGGCCACACACATAGAAGGCACTTGCATGTAGGTGCTCTTATTAAACGTCCCTCACAACAGCCCTGTGAGGTGGGCATCAGTGTGTCCATTTTGCAGGAAAGGAAACTGAGGTGCAGAGCAGAGGAGTAATTCGCCGAAGGCCACAGAGTGGGGCAAGTGGCTGAAGTATAGGAATAGGGATTTGATCCCAGGCTGTCTGACTTCTCCCACTCACCTGGCCCCAACTCGAGGTTCAGCTCTCCTCCACCTTGGCTGCACCCCATCAGCACATTTACTGATGGGAGCCCCATGATTGCAGGCTGGGATGCTGCTGACCTTTCAGTACTAGCCCGGATCTGTCAGCACAGTCTGGGCAGCTCACAGAACGGTTTTCTTCACGTGGTCCCTAGGGTGGTCTGGTAAGAGAGGAGGGTGAGTGTCTGAGCCCAGGAAGATGAGGTCACCTGAGAGGAGGTCTTCCTGCTTGCAGGATGAGGTGACATAGTCTGGGTGATGCCCTACGTATGTGGCCTGGGCTTTCCTGGCTGCCAGACACTCACGACACCTCTTGCTCACTAGGTAGGCCAGTTCTACCAGGTTGAGCAGGATGCAGATGGCAGCTGTGATCACCATGAAGAGTGTGAAGATGTTCTTCTCTGAGGGCTTGGAGATGAAACAGTCCACAGTATTGGGACATGGAGCCACATGGCATTTAACCACAGGAGGGAGGGTATATTTTGGGTAAAATGAATGGAACACATAGAGGAAAGTGGCATCCACACCAGCCTTGAACACTAGGCTGCAGACATATGTCCACCAGAGACCACCCCTTTTCTTGCCAGGGTCCAGGTAAAGGCGCCTGCTGCCCTCCCCGGCTGCCTCTAGGTGTTTCTTTTCCCGAGCCTCACGATAGGCCACGTGCATCACCACCAGAAGTGAAGGGCATGTGACCAGGATGAGCTGCAAAGCCCAGAGGCGCACGTGAGACACGGGGAAGAACTCATCAAAGCAGACGTTAGAGCAACCGGGCTGCTTGGTGTTGCAGTCAAAATCCTTGTGGTCATCACTCCACACTCGCTCAGCCGTCACCAGGTACACCAACACGCGAAAGATGAAGACCAGGGACAGCCAGATGCGACCAAAGGCTGTGGAGTACTTGTTGACCCCACTCAGGAGCCCTTCAAAGATAGCCCAGTTCATGGTGGGCCCAAGGGTTGGCTGCCACTGCAGAGAAATGATAATAATAATTATTGACATTTATGGAATGCTCATTTTGAGAAGTTAATAGGAGGATGTCATCAAATTTAACCTTCATAGCCATCTAGGAGCTAGATTCTATTCTTGACCCCATTTTGCAGAGGAGGAAACTGAGGTTCAAATGGGTTATACAAGGTTACACAACTGTTAGGTACAGAGCTGGGATTTAAGTGCAGGCAATTTAGATCTAACTCTTAGACATACAAGTGGGTCAAGGCATGACCAAGGAGTCACTCAGTCCTCCCAGGGCCTGCGACTCTGGCCTTGTAGGCTTGCACAGACATCTTATGGAGGTGGACATTCTGACTTTTTCCTCTGCTCCAACTTTGGCCCTTCTCCTCAGGAGGCTGAGTCTTGGGCTGGCATCTTCTCCCCTCTCTGAGCATCGCTGTCTCTGTTAGACAGCCGCCTCCACAGGGGAACCAGGTCTTTGAGCCCTTTACTTGGCAATGTCCTGCTCAGAGGAGCTCTGGTGGTACAGTGGTGAAGTGCTTGGTTGCTAACTGAAAGGTCTGAATCCACCAGTCACTTCATGGGAGAAAGTAAGGCAGTCTTCTTCTGTAAAGGTCACAGTCTTGGAAACCCAGTGGGGCAGTTCTACTCTGGCCTATCGGGCTACAATGAGTGGGAATCAACCTGACAATAACAGATTCAGTTTTTTTTTTTTGGTCCTGCTCAGGGGTGACACACTTGAAACAAGGCCAATGGCAACCAGATGAAGGATCACATGAGGCGACCTCATGTGTGTCAGAATAGAACTGTTCTCCGCAGGACTTTTTTTTGCTATTTTGTTATGCTTTACATGAAAGTTTACATACAAATTAATTTTTTAATCAATAGTTCATATATAAATCCTTTTGTGACACTGACTGCAATGTGTCAGTACTCTCCCTATTTTTTTTGTTGGGTTCCCCATTTCCATTCATCTGGTTTCCCTGTCCCTCCCTGTCTTCTCATCTTTAGTTCTTTTTATGCAATAAGCTTCCTGAAGCAGGTTGGCATTCCAGTGTTTCCCAAACTGGTGTTCCATGTAACCCTGCATGATAGTTTGGTCATAGGAATAGTATAGGGATTCTATGTTCAAGAAAAGTAGGCAAGCACTGGCCTCAGCAAAGTGACAAAGGTCCCTTTACTTGACCATGCTAATAAATTCACATTGAAAATCTCCAAAAAGGGGACAGAATATGTGGTGTGCCTAGACTCCTTTGATCACAGTACCCTTTCTTTTCCTGTGGGACAAACTTGTCAGGACAGCAAAATGGAAGAATTCAGTCAGTCCTTCAGGGGACCTTGGCAGGATGGGCACATAGGGTTCAGATTTAAGCCTCTATTTATTGAATGCAACTGCTGTGCACAGTGAGAGGTGCTGACTTTCCTCACTCATCTGGATTCCTCTGTCCAGTGCCTGGGGTCTCCCAGGGGTCCATGCACAGTCCTCTCACCCTGCTGTGCCCCTCATTGCCCCCATAGGGGCTCCAGGAAACTGTCTGCACAGCCGTGTGCTATAAGGGGTGCATGAAGCCCGGTGAAGTACTGGCCCAGGCTCATGGTCACCTCTGTCCTGACTCTCGTGTACCCTACCGTAGATGGGTAGGGGCATAATAACAGCCAACATTTAGTGGGTACTTATACTGTGCCAGACACTGCTCTAAGCCCTCTCCATGAATCAATACATTACTCCCTCATAACAATCTTATGAAGGAGTGTGATATTCTTAACTCTCAATTTACAGATGAGGAAAATGAAGCACACAGAGGGTAACTAAATTGCTTGCAGTTAACACACATAGCTAGTAAAAGGCCGGGCTAGGATTTTAACCCAGGCAGACTGGCTCCAGAGCCCACACTTTGGGAACTGTCTATTCTTGGGCCTGGGCCCCTTTCCTCCAGCTGCCTGTCCATCTCTGCTCATTCCCTCCTGGCCTGGGTGATCCCAGGTGAGGGAGGCTGGCAATGTCTCTGTTCTCCACCCTTTGTCTCTTCCAGCAGTGTAGCCACTGTTGCGCCTGTACCACCTACACTTGGTTGGACGTGGGGCCCTGCTCTGAATCATCAGCTTTACTGCTCAGTCCTGCCTGAGGTGGGCGGAACTTCTGGCAGCTACTCAGGGAACACCCAGGGAGGCCCCAGCCTTCAGCCCCCGGGGCTCTCGGCCCCTCCCAAATGGGGTGGGGCGGGGCGGGGCTACGCAGGCCCAGGCAAAGCCGTCTTCCCGCTCGGCTCTGGGCCGCCTTTGCACCCCTCTCATACTCAGTCCCCAACTCTCACATTTGCCCGCCTGGGAAAGGAGGAAGAACTCAGTGCAGAGAAAGGAGAGCCCTTCATTCCTCTACCATGTGGATCCAATGCCCAGTGCCCAGCCCTGTCCCTTCTAAGTCTCCACCTGAGAACCCCTCCAGGTGTGCCAAGGGCAGGGCACATCTGGACACAGATGCCCTTACCTGAGCGGCTACTCCTCAGGGCTCTCCGGGTGATGACCCCTGGCACTTGCAGCGGGACTTAGCAGGCAGCCGGAATTCATGTCAGACCAGGGAGAGTTTCTGGGGAAGCCCGTTCTTGGGAAGGCGGCTGCCCATGCCTCAGCAGCCTGGGTGTGCCTGGCTCAGCCCCGGAGGAGGAGCTGTGGCAGGCACTGTCATTGGCTTGGGCCCCCGCCTCCCCAGGCTGCCTGTGAGGAGGCCCAGGAAACCTAGGGGTTCACTCCACCCAGGGTGCTGGGCCCAGAATTCTGGCATTCTCTCAGGGGAGACACAGATCCACTCTGATTAGAGCTCATCTTCCCATCCTGGGCTTTTGGGGGAGGAACTGAGGCGTACCCTGTCCTCTCATCCCTCCAGACGTTTTCTATTGTTTCTTCTTGGGTCTCCTTCTCCGGATTCCATGGGCTGCGAGCAGGATCTCTGTGGCTTTCCATTCTCGTGGTCTCAATTATTTTTGCAAACTTGATGACTCTCAAACTCTGTCTCCAGCCCAGATGCTTTTGCCCAATCCATTCCCTCTGCCTGGATGCCCGTCCTCAACCTTCCTTCCTTGCCTACATCTGGAGTCCTACACATCTGCAGCTGAAGTCCCACAAGCCCGCAAATGGAGCTTCACCCCCTTATATCTGGATCCTTACATATCTGCATTTGAACCTGACAGTCTTGCATCTGGAGCTCCATACCCTACATCTGGAAACTTCCACCCTGTATCTGGAGCTCCACAAGCCTATATCTACAACCACACATCTGCATATAGAGCCCCCCACAGCTGCATCTGGAACCTCTCGCCTCTGCATCTAGAACCCCACACACCTGCCTCTAGACCCCCACGTGCCTACATCTGACACCCCACACAACTGCATCTAGCTTCCCACACAGCTGCATATGGAGGTCCCCCTCTCTGCTGCACCTGAAGCCTCACACTCTGGCGTCTGAAGCCTCACAGCCCTACATCTGGAGCCCCACAAGTCTGCATCTGGAACAACACATACCCACATCTGGATTCCCACATATCTGCATTTGGATCCCACACATCTGCATCTGGAATCTCACACTTTGGGTCTTCCTGCTTCTGTGCTTAGGGCCTGTCTCTGGGTTTCCATAGCCTTGAACCTCTGCATTGTCATAGCCTGTAAGATTGTATTGGCTTAGTTAACGTCATTGAGCTTTTTCCAGGTAGGGACTATGTGTTGAATGAACACATCAGTTCACACCACAGGTATTTTAGGGACTGGCTGTGAGCAGGACATGAAACAGAACATCGCTTGAGTCCCAGACACTCACCAACTTGGCCTTGATTTCCAGCTGACAAGTCAGGCATGCCTGAAAGTCTCTGCTCAACTTCTCATGACCTTAAGAGGTCACCAGACAAACAGACTTCTGGGTCTAGAATCCCCATCTTTTCTCTGCTGGGACCTAGCTCATTTTTTGCACCTCAACAACACTGAGTACATGAGGTGCTATACAAGGAGCCACCCTAGCCCATACGCACACAGCCCTGATGCCTCCCAGTCCACACATACCGACTCCCCTGCCCATTCCTATGTAGATAACTGCTCTTCCCCATTCACGGGCCCTGGCCCCTACCCCAATACTGCACACAGTGGCCTTTCCATCCAATGCTTGTTTTTAATGTAAGAGTCATCTCTGAGGCACCTACTGTATAACAGGTGCTGAGTCTGGTGCTGAGCCACCTGAGATAAAGAAAGGATCAGAGAGGCTGGGCAAAGTCACCCAGCCTGGGAGAGGCACACTGGTGTAAGAATGGCCTCACAGGTGAGCGCCAGGGAAAAGGGCTGCACTGGCTGAGTCCTGTCTAGAGCAGGTCCTTCCAGTCTGATGGGGAGGTAGATGTGTGAACAAACAGTGGATTCCTGCATTTGAGCCCCACATATCTTTATATCTAGAACCTGACACCCCTATATCTTTCACACCCACAAAGCTCTGCTTTGCTATATCTGGAACCTGACACCCCTATAACAGGAATCTTATCTCTCTAATGTGACTCCTGAAAACCCTGCATCTGGAACCCTACACATTTGCATCTGGAATCTGATGCCCCCTATCCACATCTGGAGCCCCACATTGCTCCATCTGGAACCTGACACACCTATGTCTAGAGTTCCACACCCCTGGTTTGGGTCCCCATACTCCTGCATCAGGAACTCATAGCTTTGGATTTGAATCTCACTTCTGCTCTGTTTTGATCTTGGGCAATTTACTTAAACCTATTTCCTCCTGTGTACAGTGAGATAGTAACATCTACATGGAGCCTTTGAGGAGCTTTGTGAGACCCTAGTGCTCGAGGCAGTGCAGAAATTGAGTGCACAGGCCGCATGGCCTGAGTCTTGGCTTCCTAGCTGTGTGATGTCTCCATGTCTTATCTGCAAAGTAGAGAAAATAACAGCACCCACCTTGTAGGGCCAGTGTGCAGATAGACATAGGTAATGAAGGCCAAATGCCT